TTACTCGTACTTAGCCCAGTGTAGCTGAATCATTAACATGCTCTCTGACCCGCTCACTCTCTGCGCGTCTCTCTCGAGCAATATCGATCAAAATGTTATATGAATACTGGAGTAGCCTTAACTGCGTGCTTACCAAGTGATATCTCCCCCTCTGGAGAGTCTCTTTATCTATACTGTCTATCTAAATATCTATCTAACTTTGCTATCTGTCTTTACTATCTATCTGCGCTCTCTATTTATCAATCTATTCCGCATCTATACGATACATCTATTACATCAGGATCCCCTTCAATTACCATTGCCTTTAATCCATATTATCTAGCTATATTATCTAACTTTGCTATCCATCTCTAGTATGTATCTATAATATACATCTATACTCTCTATTTTCAATATCTATCTTTACTATCTACCCACATCATTTAGCTATAGGATTTACTATCCCATTCTATTCCATCTATCTTTCTTATCCGCATGCTATCCATCTTTACTATATATTACTATCTAGCCACGCCATCTATATATCTATAAAATATATCTGTGTCTATCTTTAGCTATATATCTATATGTCTATAAATTCCATTCATATATATATATATCCAATATCATCTCTTTACTATCCTACTACTATCCTATCCAATTATCGTATCTATTTCTTTTTGAATCTAAAAGTTTGGTCGATCCATGGCGATATGGATATATCAATCAATCTAAAACATTCTCTGCATAGATCTGTTTATTTGAAGAGCTTATAGCATATGTGAGCTGTGCATAGCTGTCTAAGAAATGTGTAATATTTCACAGCTGGAGAGCACACGCCACAAAATACCCTGTAGAAATGTGCGCATTGCGTATTGGGACTTAACAAATCGTGTGTTCAAAATGTGATTATGAGATGTGCACAAAAATTTGCTGCTGGCCATTAAATGAATACAAATTGCATCGAATTCATTAAGAGAGACCAAAGAACAAGGCCAACGACAAGGAAAAGTAGCAGACGAAGACGAAGAGCAGATGATTCCGACTTGGCTAACAAATTGGCCCCCACTGACATTTGGCTGATGCTGATGCTGATGCTGATGCCAATGGACAGGCGACAGCTCGAATGGAAAGGAGTCAAAGGAGGAGGAGGTTTGGGGACTGCCGGAATTATCATTTATTAATTGTTCTTTAATTTGTGTGGGAAGCAATTCCCACCTCTGCCTCAATATACACACAAGTGAAGAGAAGAAGCAGCTGAAAAATAAAATAATATAAAATTAGCGACCGCAAACAACAACAAATAATAAATTTCGGCTTTTGCTGTCGTTGTTGCTTTTGTTTGCTATCAAAATGCAAATGGAATCCAATAAACAACAACTCATTAAAAGCGCAACTAACCGGCTGATGACCCGATCCAAAAGAAGAGGCCTCCGACCAAATCAAGCAAGCCGTCCAAACACCAGCCACCAAAGACCACAGACCAAAGCGAACCTAATTGGCCATAAAAGATCGAACGCCCACCAAAATTAGTCAGGTGGCACTAACAGGTGAAACCTAATGATTGTCCAGTTTATAGATCATTTTGGAATAAAACATTCAGCGCTGCTAGATAAAGTCGAGTAGTCTTCCAGGAATCTTATGATAATAGATAAAACATAATAGATATATATATAAATAAATATATATGTCTAAGAACTATTTCTTAGCTAGAACTCAGTTGTAGCTAAGTATTCTTCAGCGAATTTCGTATAATAGAAATATATCTGATTTCTATATAGAACAACTAGAGAAGTGGCTGAGCTATATGTCAACAAAAGAGTTAATTGAATCCAAGTTTACTTAGTGCTTAACTGGAAACTGAATAAAGAAAGAGCGAATAGATCTTAGCAAAGAAATTTTTAGATGTTTTCAGATTTTACAGCTGTTTTAATAGACCTAAGACTTAGGGCTCAAATCTTATTCTAAGATATACAATTAAATGAGATTATTATTTTTATAATTGCTTGATATATAACTGAAATAAATTGTATATTCGAGTCGTTCCTCAATTTGTCTGATATATTAAATATTTGAGATATAGAGCGAGGGAGCTTTAATTTAAACGCTCGATGCTATAAAATATGATCGGTACATTAGGGAATACGTGTTTGACTTATTCAAAAATTGTACTCGATGAACTCGATAAACCTGCAATATGGAATTGATTGAAATAAATACATTTAAGAAGCATATAAATAAGAAATGGGGACATTTCGAGCCTTTGGATAATATAAAAATCGAAGCTCGTACGAGCATAAATCAAGCGGAATGCAATCAAAATAAATAATATATTAGAGTGTGTACGAGAGCATGTAACGCCAAAGGGAACAACAAATGAACGCAACGTGGAGAGTGCACGACTAGCAGATGCCCTGCCAATGAGAAATCGCAGCTTGAAGAGAAACAGAACTTCAAGTGCCTTTCGTATTAACTCGAGTACTATGCAGTAATCGAAAGGACATTTAGCTGGCAAAAGATAACTTAAGCTATACCAAACTTGAGACAATTCGGAGATTGCTCGACTATGAGATGCACTGTAAATAATTACAAATATACACCAGCTACAGATAGGAAACCTTTTGAAATGGTTAATTTCATAAATCAAAGAAGACAGGAGATACCCTGTGCATGAGATTTATAGAATGGAATTTTAACTAAAAATATTTATCATTTATGTTGCTACAACTCAAGTATTATATACCAGATAGAGTTGAAATCAAAAGGCCCAAGACTCAGACATGCAACATGTGTATATGAAAGGCAAATGAAATTCTATTCGTATTACTTCTTTTGTATTAGCTCGAGTATTATAGAGGCGATCGACTTGAAATCGATAGACTGCTTAATTAGCTCTAAGAACTTATTGCTTACCAAAATGAGAAAGTATCTTAGCTATGCCTTGTGGGTCGCCCGTCGCCTAGGAAAGGGTATCACAGCCATGAAACGAATCAACGATTGATCGAACAGGTAAATAATTTAATTTATGAACGGCATTCAATTTAATTTGACTGTTATGTCTGTTGCCTGAGAGCGAAACTCACACGTGATCCAAATACTGGATGCGCTGCTCGCGGACTGGCCCAGCTCTGACTCAAAGTGGGCCGCCTTCACGAATACCTACCTACATATATATACATATATATATGTGTATATACCTGTATAGAAATATGTCTTATAGTCATGTTGACGATCATTTTGCGACAATTGATGCAAAGTTTATTGTTTCCTTAATTCGCCATTAAAAATGCGCAACGTGTTTGCCAGACGAACCCGATTGACTGACAGCTGTACGCTTAGACATACATATATAAACTTATATATATATATATAGATATATGTGTGTGTATATCGGGGAATTGAAAAGCCACTGCAATATATATTGAATTGAAATTTATATCGATCGACGAAATTGGCGCACGTCGTCGAACACAGCACTTCAAAGTAGCGCCCAGGCCCACACGACGGCGCCTAATCAATATTCAAATGTTAATGTTAACCAAGGCATGTTATTGGCCATAAGAGCGACTTAACAGAGCTACATGATGACTGTTAAATGCTGCCATAAATATACACTCTTGACATTAGCTATCAAATGACAAAAGTTGATTTCGAATTGCCTCTAATCAAAGTCCACATTTCGCTCTTATTGTCTGCTAGTTGTCATGTTAAGTGGCTGTCGAGCTTAGCTGTTTAACATAGTTACATAATGACTGTGGAATACAGATATATATGTATCATAGAATATCGCTGTCTTTGGTATAATTATTGTTGATGAATAAAGAATCTATGACAATGCCTTTGATCATAGCCAACATTGCGCTGTAACAGTGTGTTAGTTGCTCTGTTAAGTGGCTGTTAGGAGCTATCATCTAGTCCAGATTTGCCTTTCCTTTGCTTCTTAATATTAATCAAGATTTGATATCTTAAGCGGCTGTTAAGTATAGTAATTAGCTATCATATTTATTAACATTCGCATGCTCTGTTAACCAACAGTTATAGTCATATATATAGCTTCAAGCTATGTTAAGCAGCTGTTAAAATGGAAAACATGTTATCGACTCGCAGATTTGTCGAATTGTTAAAGTTATGTAAGCAACTATATTATATTTATGTTTGTATGTAAAGCGAACACTGTTAAGCTGGTAATGTTAGAGCGCTGTTAGAGATTAGTAGACTGTTAGGCTGAAAAGAACCAACAATTAAAACTCAATTGTGATTTGTTGAAAAAAAACTTAATTTTTTTATTGACTAAACTCACAAGAAAAGCGAAAAACACAAATAAATAATTTAAAAAACAAAAAAAAAATATGTTTATATATGTTTATATATATATATATATATCTGGTGTTTTCAACTAAATTGTTGCTTAGCTTAAACTAATTTCCTTTAGCTAATTTTAATTGCCGCCTGGCAAAATGTTTATGCAGAAAAAAATGATCTATAGACTATATATATAGCTGATATAAGTACTTAGGCTTGTGCGTATCTCTTGCTGTTATTTGTATTTGTATTTGTATCGTATATGAACTATGTAGGCAGACATAGAGACGTACGTACGTGTCTATATGTATATGCTTCAGTATATCAATTAAATATAGGAAACTCTTTAAGCGGCGTATACTTTTCGAAAGCACCTAAGAACTAAACAACTTAGTATTCTATGAAAATATCAAATAGTATTTGGGTTAAAATTTTCGAATTATGAGCGTTAGCCCCCATCTAAGCCCTAGCCCCCGCTTAACTACCAACTAACTGTGTTTTGGGCCGCACTGTGATGCGCCTTTTGTGTTTTTAGCTCGTTTCCCATCAACGAAAAAACAAAAAACAAAAAATAAAAACAATAATAGAAAAAACTGATCATCGAAAGAGAACAAAACTAAAAATAAATCAAAAATCAAAAGTCAAAAATCGAAAATCAAAAATCGAAAATCAAAAATCGATAATCGAAAACTACGAAAGAGGGAAATTTCAGTGTTTAGACCATCTCACAAAGATCTGGGCATCCCTACAACTCCTCCAGGCAGCGCACGTTGGTGAGCATGATGCGGGTCAGGCGCCAGACCTGCTTCGCGGCGTTCTCGAGGGCGCCCGGAGATTTGCCCTTGAAGAGATCCATGTTGGGCAGGAAGTAGTGGGGACAGCGCCGGCACTGCAGGCAGGATATCAATTGCAGGAATATCCCATTGATGCGATCGGCAATGCAGTTCTCCTCCCATTCCATTTCCCTCGGATGCTTCTCGCATTCGTAGAGCAGCAACGTTTTCAGATGATACGACGTTACGGGATTGCCCGGCAGATCCAGATGACGATCGCGTAAAGTCTTCAATATGCTAAGGCAGCGACGGCGACTGGCACCTGAAATCGGGAAAAACAATTCAAATATATTTCAGATCTCCAAAATGTCTGAAAGAATCCATTGAGCTATCCATAGAATGAGCTTGGTCTTCATGTTTCACATGAAACATCTAGCACTGACTGTGACATGCACTTTAAGGGCCTGTCAAATGTCAGTTTATGTTTAAAGCTAACTTAATTTTTAGCGTTGCCACCTCATCAACTGAAACTAGACACTATATTTTATATTTCTGCCACCCTTCATAGTTAACATGCACTTTAACTGCCTGTCAAATGCTGTTTTATGACTGTTTCCCATGTTGCAGCTTGACAGGCGCATAAAATGCAGCAAGCAGTCAAGCTTTTGACATTTAGATACAACTGAGCGTTGCCACCTGGTCATAAATTGCAGCACAACTCAAAGTAAGTTTCGATTGATAATCGAAATGGTTTTCTATAAATATTATTTGTACAATTTCATAATAGCCCAAGTGTAGATATTGTTTGTCATTGATTATTTCGACCATGCTCATGCTCAATTAGTCATTTGAATGGCACTCAAGTGTCGAAAAAGCGTGAAATGTAGAAAACATTTTACGAAACTTGATAACTGCTACGCTGACTAATCGGTTTCGTACAAAAGTTGTCTTTAATTTGCTGATAATTGACAGTACGTATATCGTAAGAGAGACCCCGAAAACAATCAGTTTCAGCTCTTCGGATATTTTGTGAACCGATTTTGATTGATAAACCCACATAGCAGTTGGGACGTCGAACAGCACATAAATCATGGACTTCGAGTGTCAAAATTACTAATCTCAAACGGAGCCCGATAATCGTATATTGGGTACATTGATATGATGTCTACCTGTGGGCACGGTGCGACTACTGAGACCCACATAGCTGGGAATACTTGAAATTTTATAATAGAGTTCCGTTGAAACTTCTTATGAAATATATGTTTATGGTCAAATGGAAAGACTATGGACTATTCAAAAGGGCAAACATGGATTCAAAGGGAGAATAAATATCAGATTGGAATAATCGATATACGATAACAGTTGATTAAATTCATAATCGATTTAATTTTTTTTAATTTGTTGACAGCACACGGAAACAGAGTCTATATATTAAATTGGGCACGCAAAATATAATTATCGATAACGATAACATAAGCCAATATGCGTTAAAAGAACAAAAACTGGATACAGTCCACGAGTTGTATTGAACTTAATGTCACAAGTTATATTCTCTGAATAGGTTTAGACAACATAAATCGATAAACGATAACGATAAATGTAGACATAAGAGCGATACATTATATCTTAATATACTTTTCATATTCCCTTTTAACTGCGCAGAAAATCTGAGTGGCAAGCACACGGACAAATGCATAATCGATACACGATAACTATGTGCAATCGAAAACAATCGATTACATAATAATTTCATTTCATTCATTTCATGTCATAGAAAGTGACTTGGTGAAACAGATAAGTGTACCTCATCAATAAACGATAACGATAAACGATATATACGTAAAAATATAACAAAATAGTTATCGATTCAAAGAGATATTTCAAACGAAATGAAGGCAAGCAAAATGAAATAGAAGAAAAACTCAAGAGCGCATATGTTCACATGTATCAGTCTGATTAAGAGCAAGCGATGCACGATAACGATAAATAATTGAATATATATGAATGCTAATAGATCAGTGCTTCATTAATATACTGTAGAAATGCGCAGAATAAGCACAACATGAATAAAACAAAGACGCATCGAATGTGACAATGGAAATCTGATAGGTGTGACAGCAAGCGTAATCGATAGACGATAGGCGATAACGATATTGTAATGGATACAGGCACATTGACAGTTAGTCGAGAGGCACGATCGCAGCTAAAGAAAAAGCAAGTAATTATTATGCGACAGCCAGCATTAAATTAAATGTCAAGACGTTCGACTAGCGTCCAAGAGACAAGATTCCGAGATTCGAAGATTCCAAGATTGCATTCGATTCGAAGATCGAAGATCGAGAGAGATCGTTGAGAGGGCGCATAAAATCAAATGTGAGGGCTTCAGATTTGATTTCGATTTCGATTTGGGTCTTTGGCTAAGTTTTTATCTTCTTTCATATTTTATTTCGCTTCTTCTTTTTTCCCTCTTGTTGTTGTTGGCTTCGCTTTGTCGTCTCTGGTGGCTTTAAAGGTTTTTTTGTTTTTGGCTTTTATTTTTTGTTTTAGTTTTTTATTTGAATTTTTTGTTTGGTTGGCTTCTTGAGGCCGGGCCGGCGCGCCGTTGTTTTTATTTATTTGTTGACTTTATCTAATCGCCGAGATTTAAAATATTTATAAAATCGTTTAGAAATTTATTTATGGCCCAGGCACTGTTGGCATTTGTTGATATCAAGCCGAAAACCCGTTTCTCCGCTGCCTTATAGCGTTGGTTAGCGTCTGCCTAACCGACTACAGCCCAACTGCGTTTATCTGACTCAGATCAGCGGATTTGTGCGCGTGGAGACATCAGCCAGAAAGGCGGCCAAAGGTGGCTTATCCAATAAATAGTGTGCGGCCTAGTCTTCACACAGATTTATGATCGCGCTGCCCATCATGGAGGCCATATCTCATTTCTTATCGCGCTTCAATAAACGGATGCGTTTTGCTCTGCCAGTCGATCGATTGCCTAAACGTTTCTCCCCCTCTCCCTCTCCCTCTTCCCGTCTCGTCTCGTTCCTCAGCAGCCTAATTTAATGGAAAGCTATTGAGTAATCGACTAACAAAATGCAGAGACAAACTAATCTCCAGTCAGAAGTCTGCATTGATCTATCTACTGAATGTGTAGTCCGATTTGATCGGCTCTCATCGTGATCAATAGTCGCGTGCTTAGGCAACTCTTTTTAATTGCTTGCGATGATTAGATTAGGCAGCTGTTAAATGATTTAATTATCTACTTTTATGATCAATTAAGCTCCAAACTGATCTTTAAAAGCAAAAACTTTTCTATGTGAACAGCATCTGATCTTCGCTCAAATGTGATTTGCTCTTCTTATGGATAACACTACGAATTAAACTCATCATTGCGATCAGCTGCAGATGAACTGATCTTTGATAGATGTTCAGTTGATCACATGTTCAACAGCTAATCAAATGCATTTGATGAGAGTCCAGCTTATCGATGGATCTTGTCGCCAGCCGTAGCAGCACACATACAGGTGTATATCTTGATAGCTGAATTGATTTACAAGCAATTATATGAAAGCTACAGTCGCTGATTTGTTCGAAATAAATCAATTAAATTTAAGTGTGTCGCTGATTGTAACTGCTTTGACGCGGAGCTAACTCCCGAGGTACGGTGTGGCGCAGGGGCGACGGGGCGAGCTCGATTTTCTACATTTTTATTTACTATCGGCTATCATTTACTAGCATTATTTTTGGGTTTACCTCGGCTTGAGAGTGTTCTTTGTTTGTTTATTTTTTTGGCTTTGTGAAATCAGAAGCAAAAGATTTGCTTGCACGAACTTTGACTTTGGCTTAAATTGTACAGAAGAGGAACAAAATTTGAGTCCGAGTTACAATCTTAACTTGGAACAGAATCTTTGAATAATGTTTGAATAACTTTCTGAAGCAGAAACATTTTCTAATTGCAGTTTGAATTAAAAGAAACCTAAAGCGAACCTCAAAGCCAAAAGCTTTCTGAACTAACTTAACAATTTTTATTAACTTTACAATTTGTAGTGGAAATTTAGGAGAGATAGAAACAACTTTGACAACTCTTTAACAATGTGAACTATAGGATCTCTTATATATCGGATCAGCCTAAGTGAACTGGGCATTTCTTTATATGATATGAGCTGTAGACATACTTTCTATATATGCTCTGCGCTACAAGCATTCACTGATCGATAACAATGTTATCTATAAGATCTCCATATGCCTTTTGAAATACTCTTGCTTATATACCCCTTCTAACTAAGTGAACGACGCATATAATCGCTGCACACATTTCCTATATAGATTTACTAATCCGATTGTCGATAGCAATCTTATCTAAAAGATCTTTTATGTTTCTACCAGATCTCTGAACACGTTGCTATATATAAAAGTTAATGATATTCTATATACGTTTACCAATCCAAAAACATTCCAAATATATGGCCAAGTTCACGTTATCAAGTTTATCTTGGATTATTATTCATGTATATCTATATAGTAATAATTATAGTTCCATCCATTATTCAGAATTCTATGCTAAATGCCTTTACTATATAGTTGACCTGTCGAACTAGTTGGGTTTGAGTGCCGACGGCAGTTTGAAATGTTAGGGAAACAGCTTGGGCTGAGAACTCACCTTGCAACAGACGATTCTCGGCGTCCGTAAAGCTGAGCACCCAGGCATCGCCCTCCATGGCGGAGTTCTTGCCTTGGAGCGCGATGCACTCCTTGGAAAGCATGTCGAAGCCCTCAGTCTTAACCTCTGCAACAATATTGGGATGCGGCCAGGGTATGCCGGGCAGCGGCCAGTGCGACGCCGATCTCGGCCAGAGGCCGGCGCACTTGAAGGCGGGCGTAATTTGGACAATGATCCGCTCCCTGATCCGCAGCTTCACCTCGGTGGTGTCGGCGATCATTTTGACAATGTCGCGATAGGCGCACTTGTCGCACGCCTGTGCCACCAGCGTCTGGAATCTGGAGCGAATCTTGCGCGCTGACAGATAGCCGGATGCCGTGATGAACTCCACCCACAGCGACATCGAGCGCTTGCGTCCGTCGCTCAGCTTCAGCACCGCGCAGCCGGGCAAAGTGCCGTCGTCCACAAAGTTGAGGACGCCCATCTGGTTGAGGTAGATGATGATTTCGAACTCTGTGGGTGAGATCACTTCCAGGCCCTCGAAGCGGCCATTGTAGTCGTTCAGGGACGAGATGAAGCGCGGCTCCTGCACCTCCACCTCCTTGAGCACGTCCTGCACGATGCGACAGACCTCCTGGATCTGCTTGTGTATCTGCGCCTTGCGCACCTGCACTCGATCCGCGCAATATTTGTTCATTTGATAAACCATCTTGGACTGTGCCGCGATCATGTCCGACGGCACCAGCATTATTGACCCGGGCGACGACGTCGTGATGCTTTCTCTTAACTCTTTCTAAATATATATATATATATACATATATATATATATATATATATATATATATATATATATATAATTAAATATTTGTTATAGGAACTGTTATTCAGAGATTTGTTGGCTTGTTTTAGAACAGTTTAAGCATGGTTTTTTGATTTGTTGTGAATACACTTATTGCTTATCTAATTTGTGTTTTCTCTCAGGCACAGCACAAAAAAAAATTGATAACAAAATGCAATTGTTTGAATTACTTGAACGTTGCGAACGCTGGCGGCGGCCTTTCGTTACTGTCGCGGTTTCACTACAATTCAAGTCACTGTTTTGCATTGAGTTTCGCACGCGTCGCAGTCGCAGTCACAGTCACAGTCACAGGCGCAGTCAACTCGTGTCGCGTGTACTCGCGCCATCAACTCCAAGACATTGACTGATTTCGTATGGCGTGCACGCCGCAAGAAAAGTATCTTTGGTAGCCACAGTCGCGGCCGCAGTCGCAGTCGCAGCTCTGCCCAGTCTCCATCTCATCCAACTCCCCAATGAGTACCAGTAGCAGCAGCAGCGAGTGCGAGCGAAACAGCGCTAGCTATGCGTGGCTTTTGCCTTCAACACTCTATCTCGCTCAGGCGCGCTCTCTCACTCTCTAACCACACCTGAAGCACTGAGAGCGTTCGTAATGGCTGAGCAGCAACTCTGTCGGCGCAAGCCACTGTGTGTGCATGTGTGTGTGCGTGCTGACGTTCGCCTTTGTGTTGGTTTCTTGTGTGTTTGTTTAATGCTCTTTTGATTGTTTGTTTGTTTAATAAAGCGCTATAATGGCGACCACACTGCGTGAGAGAGCGAGAGCGAGAGCCAGCTGCAGAGAGAGCGCCAGGCTTGTGCTTGTGCAATTTTACTTTCACTCTTTTCAACCACAACCACCCCGTAAATGCAATCCCTTCAATTGCCCATCGTTTTCATTTGCTTCCGTTGCCGCCGCCGTCGTTTAGCTCCGCCTCTTTTTTGCGCTCACACAAACACACTGAGAGTGGGAGAGAGAGAGAGAGCGAGAGCACGCGCAAGAGAGAGGCAGCCGGCATATGCGGAGCTCACACAGATAAACACCAATACACAGAGCCAGCATTGTTCTTGTCCTCACTTGGGGTTGGCCTGTGGGTGTTGTTTTTTGTTTCCTCTCTTTCCTTTTTTCCTGCTTTTTCGTTTTGAACGTGGGCTGCACATTGCAGGCATTGTAAGTAGTTGTTGACTGCTATTCGCATTACAGTTAAATAAATAACATAAACAGCGGCCCAACAGTGGCCATTAACATGCGTGATTTATGTTAAGATGTCTGCGGGCGAATCTTGCAGCGCGAATACAAAAACAATTCTGACTTAGTGGACACATCAAACGAGCTGCAACTGTAATTATGCCAGTTACACTACGAAGTTAGGGAACAAATCTTTAGAAATTAATTGGGTTGTTATTTATAATTTGTTTTTGCCACAAAGCGAGCCTGAGAGCGAACGAACGAGGATGTTAGATAAGCTAAGTCTTTTTTGTATCTTTATATACACGTATAAATCTATTATATTCATATAATTTATGTCTGTTTACCACATTGTTTAGAAGCAAAAGCTGAATTTAAATATATTTATAAGTATAAATACAATTCCTTTAGCGTGTGTTTACTGCATATGTATATAGGGGTGCCTTAGAGTATTAATTGATTTATGTAACTTGAGCCTAGGAACCAACCCTTATTACTAGTTCATATAAAAAACTTGTGCGTATTTATTGAATTACAATATTATGTTAACAGAGGCTGTTAACATGCATGCTAAAGCGTATGAAAGCCTGAAGCAATCTGTTAACTTAAATACCTTCAATATTTCTTCAATTTGATTAAAGTTAATTGAAATAACGCACACATAACTGTAAAGCTTAGTGGAAATTTAATAAAAATCGATGGGCCATGCCATGTTGCAGAGCGACATCCAGCGACATCCTCTCCAGGCCCAAATACTTCTTTATACATTTACTTTCTTTCGTACGCCCATTAATGCACATCTAATGTGATTAATGGACGCTTAACACGAGCTGCCGGCCAGCGCTAGTGGGCGTGGGGAGAGGGGGAGCGGGGCGGGGCTAGCTGGTGTCATATCTAGCTTTTTATGCGCAGAGTCTGGCAACATTAAGTTCCACTTTAAGAGAGTGGCAAACAAATTATTATGTATAATTCAGTTAAGAACTGTGTGCCGGAACCTGCATTAAGATAAAGCTAATTAACACCTCAGACCCGACTCAATTCCTGAGCACCCTAACTTGGCTCTAGAATATGCTTGCCACATGCGTCTATCATTTTTCTTCGCTCTGACGATAAGCGGCGACTGGCTATATGGAGCTGCAGCCGGAGCTGGTGCTGGAGCTGGAAATGGAAATGAGCCGTTGCCTGATAGTGCGCTGGGAATCGCTTTAATGGCCGCGTAAATGTGGAAAATTATCAAAGGGACACGAACTTAATTGCGTCCATTATCGGCCTTTATGGCATATAAATTGGAAATGAATTATGCAGACGGACACAAGAGATCTTCATTAGGCCAACTGGCCAAGTGGCCAACTGGCCGAGTCCAATTCTCTTTTGAGCTTCTTCTCTTTGTTTTTGTCGCTCTGTCAAGGTCGTCTTGCCTGCTTTTGGTGGTGCCCACAAAACTCTATCGGATAAGATAAAGCAGCCATTGATGCTCTGCGATTTATGCGAGTCACGCAGCTCTCGCTCGCATTGGCCGGATCATTGGCCGTTAAGTGGAGGCTGCACGGTAGTCGCTGCGTTTAATTAAATTGTGTATGTTGTGCCTGAGTGTGTGCCTGAGTGTGTGTGTGTGCTGTGTGTGTGCTGTGTGTGTTACCCCTGGTTGATGGGACGACTTCATTCGCGGCGGTTGCAACTTATCAGCAGCTCAAGATCTGCAATGATGAGCTCCTGCTGCTCCTGCTGCTGCTGCTCCTTGGCACATACGCTTTATGGTTCTGGCCAGGCCAAAATGAGCAAATGGCGGAAAATTAAGCAAGCGACAAGGTGCGAGTGGGACACACAGAGTGAGAGACAGAGACACAGACAGAGAGATTGCAATCGCAACAGCAGCAGCAGCAGCAGCAGCTGCAACATGGCCACAACAACAAGCTGCTGCTGCTGCTGCTGCTGCTGCTGCCCCCCTTTAGCAACTAACTCCAGCTCTTGTTATGCTCGTTCACTTACTAATAAAACAGAGCATATTGGCGTTGAGCAGCGTCAAGTCAAGTCAAGCCGCTGCTGCCACAGTTTAGCTTAGGCTCAACATCTGACAGACTCTGGCTCAACAGACTCTGGCTTAGATCAGTAGCTCTGACTGTTGCGCGTCTCGAGCGCAGCTAACAAGCATGGCGCAGTCGTTGAGACCCGTTTGCTACGCTTCTTCTTCTTGCTGTGGGCTTCTTTGTGTTGACACTTGCAACGTGGACATGTTCATTTGTGTTTTAGCTGAACGAATTGTTTGTGCCACATGTGGCAAGCCAGCAGCAGCAGCATCAGAGTAATCGCAACTGCCTTAAGCTTGATAACTTCTTTTGATAAGTTCCTCCAGCTCTGTAGATCTCCAAGTCCAAAAAGAAACAATAAAACAAGTGAGCCCGCTCTAGTGGGGAGTATCCGACGAGCAAATACCCAGAAACAGCTTTCTAACTGCGCCACATCAGTTCCAGGTGTGGCAATCTTAACAGAAGGAGTACCCCCAATGTGTGTGTCCCTGAGATGAATCTAAATGCCAAATTTGCTGATCAAATTTCAATTTCACGCTGTAACTAAATAAAATTTAAAAAAAAAAAGAAAAAAAAAAAAAAAAAAAAATTTCAATTTATGAAAACACGAACTCAAGTTTCATATTGATTCTCGTCGATTTATCGATTATTTGAGGGAAACGTGAGCTGCGCGTGCTATGGCTGAGCCTGGGTCTTAAGGTTTCAGGTCTGATGCTCTGACGAGATCGTAGCGATTAGACAAACGAGCAGTTAGACAAGCTAAGCAGGCACAGCAGTAAGTGTCGACGACACGTTAACTCCTTCATAATTAATGTAACTATCTACAGAGCAGACTAACTGAAGCAAGCCCGCGAGTCTGGCTAGGCTTAGCTCTAGCATTTTGTAGATATAGTTGCCTTGAGCTTGTCAGCGCCCCAAGTCAACATTAAACCAATTGTCAAACTTCTAAGATCTGAATGCAAAATTAAAGCAGCTTTGCCTGTCTCTCTCTCACTCTTCCTCTCTCTCTCTCACTCTCACTCTCCTCTATCTATTCATCAGCGCTTGCTGCACGCAGCTCTTGCCATCCTCTCCCACTGGGTAAGTTGTGTACGGCATATTCTAATCCCCGCTTGGGGCACTCAACACGATATGAGTTCAGTGGAATCGCATGCTGCAAGTGGCAAGAGGCAGAGTGAACTTAAACAGAAGCGAACCTTAATTAGGGCAACGCTCGAAATGCCACCTAAAATCCGACTTATTGACAATATCGCAAGATGGAGTTGGTACTTCCAATGTCAGTTGATAGCGAACCCATTTCAAAGCGCACACACACACACACACACACACACAGGCAGAGACACAGAGACACAGAGAGGTCCACTCGTACGATCATCGATCATTTTCCAATTGAGCTGGCCGAGCTCCGATAATCTGCAGAGCTGCCAGCACGCATTGCGTTTCATTGTGCAGTCGAGTTTGTCATTCGATATGATGGCAACGCTGACAGCAGCAGCCCAACAGATGAAGATAAAGATTGGAAACGGAATGGAGAGGGTAGCGCAGGGGCGACACGAGGCAAGCTGGCGCTTTGGCCAACAGGGCCAACAGGGCCAACAGGCCCAACAGCTGGCGACATTTGACCTGAACGCTCTGCTGGCTGTGACTGCGGCTGTGGCTGCGACTGTGGCATGTGCAAAGGTCAGCCGGTTGCAGAGGCGGTTGCCGAGCGACAGGCAGTCGAGGGCATTGGCATTGGCATTAGCATTTACCTGTCTGCCCTGTCTGCTGGCCAAGTGGCGCCTGCATCCCGTCGCGCGTTGTCTGCATATGCGGAATATGCGTGAGCGTGGGGCATGCAACAACAGCAACGGCAACGGCAACGGCAACAAGAGTCGCAGCATCTTTTTGGACATGTTCAGACATTCAAATCAGTGCCAGGTTTCAGCTGAGAATTATCCACAGTTGCAGAGCCCCCATCCCCCCAACTGTGGGGCACACACACACACACACACACACACACACGCGACATGCGGTTAAATATGCTTAAGTTTTTCCGCGGACAACTTGAAATTAAGTAGATGCCACAGCAAGCAGTTGCAACAGTTGCTGTTGCTGTTGCTGTTGCTGTTGCCTGCCTCCAGTTGGGGCACCCATGCA